CTCCTCCTCCTCCTCCTCCTCCTCCTCCTCCTCCTCCTCCTCCTCCTGCCTCTTCCTCTTCCTTCACCACTACCATCATCAAATTCCCTCTGAAATAAGTGGAACACTCAAAGGAATGCAGGAATATGACAACTCTTTCAAGTGACTTGATACCAGGTCCTTCTAGAGTGTTAGGGCCACCAACAGAATTACTGTGAAGATCATCAGGATTGGCATGTTGAGATGAAACCACTGATTATATATGTATATATTATGTATGCATATATTATGTATGTGTATATGATATATATGATATGTATATATGATATGTATGTATGATATACATAGTTTTCTTCATATATATTTTTTCTAAAGTCCCAAATCTTAATTTCTGGGGTAAAACATTTTCTAGCTGCTAGCCTCATTTTTGAATGTTATTTTCAGTTGGGTTATGGGATTGTCATGTTAAGACATAGTCCTTGGGTGTGGATACATGCATCTATTTGGATATCATCAACCCACAAGTCTCTGCAGACGTGTCCATGGCTTTGTTTCATGCTTAGCTCCTTCTAAATGCTAGGAAAGTACCCTATAGTTGGACTTTGGTGTTTTATGGTTTATTGCTAGAGCTTCCCCTGGACTTTCTAATTCAACTTGCATGAGCTAGTACTAAATACGGTAGTTTGACTACTAGTGTTAAAATGCCAGCAGCTAAGAAAAAACACACAGCTGAACTTTGCTATTTTATTGTTATCCCCATCCCTGCCCCAAATGCAGCACAGTCTTGTGAGTGAGATGAGCTTGAGCTGCTCCTGTTTGGTACTTGGTACCAGCATTCCCCTGGATTGCCAGGCCTGCTGTAACAATGAAGCTTATTCATCTATAGACAATATAGCCAGTGATACATGCTTAGGAGTCAGCACAGGGAGCACCTGTTTTACTCAATGCCAAAAATGGATTCAACAGGCTAAAAAGTTTACAAATCATTCAGGGGGGATTGTAAATTTTGGAATTAGACCTGTATTTTGGAAATTAAGAGTAATATGCTATTGGACAATCCGTTCAGCCTCTTTAGGCCACTACATTCTTATTTATGCAGTAAAGAGAGTAATCCTTAGCTTTTTGGATTTTATTAAAGTAGATATAATATATATATATATATACATATATATATATACATATACATATATATATATATATGTATATGTATATATATATATATATACACACACGCACCAGCATTGCAACTTTCATGATATATTGCCAGCAATAAGTGGTATTTCTACAAGTTATTATTGCTTTGATTTTTTTTTTAATTTAGGACAAAATATCCTATGAATATTAGTTAATGTCCTATTAATTTAGTAAAATATTTTAGAAGGAAATGATAAATGAACATATAGCACATGGCTTAAGACCCAGGAAAAATGTTATTAAATTAGCATTGGCAAGAATAGAAAATAGTTTTAGAGTTGGAGAATACACTATTTTCTATGGGTAATCCTGTTGTCATTGTTAAATGACCTGTGGACTAAAGCTTTGGCAGCCATAAGTATGGGGATTTTATTCTTCATACCATCTATTGTGACCCACGTGCAATGATTTGCCTTGGCTGTAATCACATGGGCCAATTCTTTATGTTCAAACTATTCCAGTAGGTCTGTGACCCAACCTGCTTTGACAGAGATGAGATCAAAACCGATGAGCATGCTGGGAAGAGTGACTGATAGGAGGAAACAGGGTAGAAGGAGAAAGCCAAAGAACCGGGGGATGGACTTGAAAGCACTGGCATGGAAAGCTAAAGTCACAAGACCAATGTTGAAAAAGCTAAAGACAAATCTAAAATCTAACAAGAAAGTGTGAGCTGGGAAGAGAATGGCAGTGCCAATTTGAAGTTTTTATTTATTTATTTTTAAATCTTTTTAAAAACAACAGGTAATGAAGTCACTGGAGGGTTAATGGTAGCCAGCCAGGGATGTAGGAAGCCTGGTTGGGAAGATGGTGATCATGGTGAGGGTAACTAAGATTGTAGTTGCCAGATGAAATAACCTGAATCAGTTCACATGGTAAGAGAGAAATAATATCTCTATTATTATCTCTATTGATTTCCCTTGGTGACTTAATGTCCTCACCACCCAGTCAGGCAAAGAGAGATGAAATGTTAGCTAGGACCTGTGGCAACCCTGCCGTCTGTCTGTGGGTCAAACTTGCAGAAAGACCATACCAGAGCAACAGGAAGCCAGAACATTTCATAAAGAAGAGAATGTCATATTAAGTTGTTCCAGAAAGTTCAAAATAATTTCAGAGATACCACACAAGTAGAAGCTACAATGATAGCATAAAGGACAAAGAATACTGAATGTCATCCCAAACATCAAGTTTCTGCTGTGGGTGGGAGTTTTGATGTCTTCTTAGTGTCTCAAGTATTTTGTTGATAAATCTCAGACCTGTAGCTACCATAGCCATGCAAGAGCTCCCTTAATATCTAGCCATCAAAATGAAAAATCTATCTACCTCCTATTCCTCTCCCCTCCAGCCCCCGATGCTGCACCAAAAGAGGTAGCCTTCATTTCCCTAAGGCCAATCTGTCCACTAATGCCTGTCATCCATCATCCCTGTCCTGCTAGGAGCATTATGTGAATTAACTTCTTACTGGCTTGCACTTTCAACTCCTCCCTCTGCTGACTTTTAGCACCTAATCGTTTTCAAGTCTCAACTTGGAGTCTCTGAGAGTTATTCAGTTACAGCTTAAAGTTCTTTGAGTGTTGCAGGCATCACTAACTCAACATGGCCAAAATGAACGCACCATTTCTCTCAAGGAACTTTCCTATTCATTGAGAAATGAACTCAACGAAAGTTCCTCAAGCTTTGGGACTGGCATTATAACCTGGCCCAATATCTAGGTAGAAATGCTGGCATTCTCTTAAATTCTGTAAACTCGCCATGATCAATAGATCCATCTTACTGGGTCTATTTTCAATGTACATTCTGCAATTGCCTTTTTTTGTCCTTCCTCTAGTTAAAACAGCATCATCTCTTGCTTGAATGGTTGTAAATGGCTACTAAGTATTTTCCCATGTTCTTGTTGCCTTTTAGACACCAAAGTGCTTGAAAATTTATGAACATTTGGGTTAATTCTTGGACATTCTTATATGAATACTTCCTAGAGATAAATATAAAACTGAAGTAGAATTTTAAATTATGTTCATAGAACTTTAAAAAAAAGAACAAGAGTTGTTTTAAGGCAAGTTTTTTTTCTATTAAATTCTATTTATTATTTATCTGGGGTGTGGGTGACCACATGCTTTGGTATTTGTGTGGAGATCAAAGAACAATTTTGTGGAGCCAGTTCTCTCTCTCAATTTTTACCTCGATCTAGAGGGTTGAGCCTAGGTCACCAGCATTTCACAGAAAACACTTTTACCATCTGGGCCTTTTCTCTGTCAATTGACTAAAGAAACCATGCCACCAAATCATTATTTTGAATATATTCCCCTCTTATTTGATTTTAAGATTGATCTTCACACCAAATTTCCAATACTACACAGAACTTAGGGACTACCATGTGGGTTCTTCAGCCCCAGATAGATTCTTTAGGGTTCCATTTACTAACTTTAGTTTCTTTTCTGCTGTTGTCTTCAGGTTTTCCAGAGCCCTTATCATTTGAGTTGAATGAACCAATTCTTCAGTTTGCTTCTCCCATGTCCTTCCCAGGGTTGACAACTGCCCTTGGCATCTTTTCAGACCTGGAACTCTATCTGTATGAAAATAGATTGTAAGTGCTTTTTAAAATAATCAATTACAGTCACATAAGAAACAACCTCAAACATGCCCAGCAAAACAAAAGAAACATACCATGACATTAGTGAGAGCCATATTTTTGCATAAGATTATAGGTGACATCTTTCCTCACTGTCCATTTTAAAACATAAATACCATTGTTTTTACATGGCAGAATCTTTGCTTTGGAAAAGGCATTTGTAGACACAATAAGGCCCACATGAATGAAATGTGATCGCAGGTAAACATGCAGGAGACAAAGGATAAGCGAAGACACAGACAGGCTTAGTGATTGCAGAAACAGATGGTAACCCAATAGCCCAGTCCACTTGGCCCATTACATACCAGATACTTCACTGTTCACAGCTCCAAAACCAGTGACTGATCTTTTACAGGTTATTTCTAAGAACTTGTGGGGAACTTAACACTTCTCAGGCAACTCAAGAATCATTTTGGGCTTGCAGTCATATATCACTATTTCCAGCTAATTCTTCAGTCTTACCTTTAAACTTACTAATGGAGCTTACATTAGAGAAAAATCGGGGAAGTCTTGTCCTAGAATTGGTATGGAATTCTTCTGATGACTATGGGTAGACCCTGTTAAATATAAAAGGCTGGCAGGATTTTCTAAAGCTAAGCCAAATTAGTGAATCAAATGGAAAAAGAAAAAAAAAACCCAAAATGTCTTAAGTATTTGTGCAGTCTCTAATTCTCACACAAATTTGCATATATTCAGACAAACTTAGGATAATTTTTATTTTATTCATTCATAAATCCATCCATAAATTGGTAAGTTTGGTGGCGGTGGAGTCTATGGAGAGTTATTGCCTCCGGCATTCAAACAAAGATAAATTCAGGAAGAGAGTTAAGGTGTGCTGAGTTGGAGGTGGCATGTGGGAGAAGTGTTTTTTTTTTTTTAAGTGGGGTGGTCTGGGAAGGTTTGTTACAGGGTGTATGAAAGTTATCTGCACATAGCTTTATGAATCCCCTTCCTGTTGCTTTCAGTAAAGCCATTCTTTTTATCTTCTGAGACTGATATCCTAGGCACAAAGACATGTCTGTATAGAACGAATTGACAAGAAACCTGAAACACCCTCCCCTCTTTTTTTTTCCATCTAGAATTCAATGTCCAATGAACAGACTCACCCAAATGTCATCCTGTGGTGATGTCAGTGAATGAATGCAGTTATGCATATGGCCATTAGTCATTTTTCTCCTGTGCTTTCTACAGCTGACTATGAGCCTGCCGAAGATGAGGAGAGAATGGTTTCTTCATTCATCTTGGTAGCTTTTTTGCCTAATGAAACGTCTGATGTCCAGTGATCACCAGTTCCATAAACAAATTTGAGAAGGAAATAAGCATTAGGTCAAACAGATCACCAGAAGAGTCCCCAATGACCTCATTTATGCACCCCACTGTCCAAAGTGGATAATGCTTTACAGCATGGTGGTCTGTGTTTCTCAAGGTCCTGTGATGGATGAACTGGCATCAGACACCGGCTCTATGAAGTAAGGTGGTTCTGTCTCTCCAACAGGGACACATTCCATAACCAACTCTAAGATGTTTCAGACCCCATTTGCCCCATGACATTCTCTTACTTCTATGACTGATAATTGTCCTTCTTTCTGAGATGGTGTGAAAGAATAATGCCCTTCATACTAGATTAGGAAATGGTGTGGTGACAGCTCATGTCATTCATATCCAGGGGAGTCATATGAGAAAAAGGGAGCCCAGAAGTAAGTTTTACTTTATTGTGAGGACCTTGCTCCTAGGAAAGATGTGGTAGTTCAGATTAAATTGTTGAGTCTCTATGAATCCCATAAGCTTATTTATATAAATAGAGAATAATAGTTGGTGCCTCACAGCTTCAGTATGAAGATCTAGTCAATAAAGCTGGGTAAGATTAAAGCTTCTGTACTTACTGCCTCAGGAGGTTGTTCAATAAACAATAATGCTTTTTACTGTTGTGGTGGTTTGAAGGTGAATGGCCCCATGGGCTCTTATGTTTGAATGCTTGGTCGCCAGTTGGTGGAACTGTTTGGGAATGATTAGGAAGTGTGGCCTAATTGGAGAAGGTGTGTCACTGGGGGTGGGATTTGAATTTCCAAAAGGTCACACCGTTCCCGGTTACCTATCTTGCCACCTATAATTGTGGATCAGGATGTGGTCTTAGCTACTGCTCCAGCAGCATACATGACTGCCGCCGTGCTCCTCGCCATGACAGACCCTCTGGAACCATGAGCCTCAAGGAATGTTTTCTTTTATAAGTTACTTTAGTCATAGTATCTCTTAACAGCAATAAAACAGTAACTAAGGCAACTACTCATAGTAATAACGTTACTATTAGCAAGTTTAGGAAAGATTTTGAATTTTTGCATATAGGTGTTGAACATTTACATGATCAATGAGGATGATGCTCATAACTCTAGTTGTATTTAAAATTGTATGTCCCTAAATATATCTGCAATGTCATTAAACTAAGTAAAGGGTGTGGTATTCCTGAATGCCTTATTATGTAAGAATATGAAGAATGTGTAAGATATTATTTTAAAAATTGTTTAGCTGCAGAAAGGAATGCCATTTAAGATGGAGCCTCTGTGGTCTCAGATCACAGTGCATTTTAAGGAACACTCCATCCGGGTATTTTATTCTCCTGGACATTAAGATCATCTGTCAACTTGATACTTTTCTTGTAGAAAATACAGTCTATTGGGTGGGGAAAGATAGAAAAGCAGTTCCTTGATGTGGTCTAAGTCAGATCTTTTCTTCTTGTTCTTTTAGAGCGTTCTTGAAGTATAATTAGGAAGGAACATAGACTATCAAAGGGTGAGGACCACCGGCTCATACAGATATGGAGATAATCTGTCTGCTGCTGGAAATGTCTCCAGATTTTTGACAACGGCTAAAGAACCATGGGGTCCAACGGCCTCGGGAAAGCAGCGACACTAGATGAACTTCTCAGCACATGCATTGAGATGTTTGGTATGAACCTTTCCTCTTTGGTCCCTTTGTGCTTCTTGATGCTGGCACTTGTTTCCATTCATATGCTTCTGTTCATATGCAGATTCTTTATGGAATAGGCTTCAGTGTCTGCCTCTTGATGTCTGAGGGCAGACCTACTCTATCATTGGCCTGTGTTTCTTTCTCTTCACTGGCTACAGCTCATATTCCAGACAAACTACCACTCATTTCTGGAACATTCCTTCTGTCATTTTTTTACTTCTATCTCTTTCTTCTTCTCTCGTTGGAATTCTCTTTGAGGCCATCTGTTATCATGCTAGATATTAATAATTCCTAATAAACTTTCAGAAGTGGTGCTTACTTCTCCCATCTCACTTCCCAGTGTATGGTCTCATGAATATAGTCCATGCCACACTGATGACTGTCTTCTTTGACTCATGTATCTCTGTTTGTGTATGCTGCACAATATACTATAATCTTCATTTGTATATCCCGCGTCTACCACAGCTATGAGACTTTGTTTTGCTGTTAGTCTATTTTATCATTGATCATTGAAATCACACAAGATAACTTTGTTTAATCAATTTAACAGTTTAATTTGTTTAATTGATAGAAAGCAGAGGTAAACCAGAGTAAGGCTATTGGATAAAATACAAAATGACTGTGGCCAGCAAAGTGGCTCACCTCTTAGCACAGGCAACCCTGATGGTCTGAGATTGGTCTCCAGTGCTCACATAGTAGAAGGAGAGAACCAGTTCCCAGAACCTGTTCTCTGACCTCCACACACACATGATCTACCCTCACTCCCATAAATAAATAAGTAAGTAAATAAATAAATAAATAAATAAATGCAAGATGATTGCTCACATTTGAATTTCAGATAATCAACATTTTTTTGATATGCTTCAAATATTCCAAGGCCATACTTGTTCTGACAACTTAATCATTTTTTACTTTCAATTCAAATTTACCTGAATGTCCTCAACTTATATTTGCTAAATTTAATCAATTGTAAAGCAGAAGAATGGTGACACTCATCTGCCTTAGTCTGCAAGGAAATAACAACAAAAGTATGAAGTAATAAAGACAGTCGACTTTGGGACTGGGGAGATGGCTCGGCAGTTAAGTGTGCATGGTGCTCTTAAGGATGACAGAGCTCAGTTCCTAGAAAACATGTCTGATGGCCCACAATTGCCTGCAACTCCCACTAATGCCTCTGGCTTCACGTGCACGTACCCACTCCTGTACACATAATTAAAAATGTTAAAAATAAATCTTACAAACTGTAATGGGGGCTTAGGGGACATTGTTGACACTGTGATATTAAAGGGAGAAAAGATTAACCTGGGCATCTCTTCACCCCTCTTTGATTTCCCACAGATGACAATGGAGAATTGAATGACAGTTACTTGCCCAGAATTGTGCTACTGATGCACCGATGGTATTTATCTTCCACTGAATTGGCAGGAAAACTCCTCTGCATATATCTTTTCAACGGCTGTGTGATGTTTTTAGTCACAAATCAAGTTCTGTTCTATTTAGATAGAGTGTCTGTCTAAAGCAAGTAGATTGAGGTAAATAAAGTCTTATTTAGTTATCCAGATGTTTTGAGGTTATATAGATGTTAGATGAGACATCTGGATGATGGACCAAATAGTTGACTAAATACTGGGTGTTTGGCTGTGCTTGAAGACATCAGTAAGACATGAAATGGAATAGGACTTGTAGGCTGAGAGTTCCTAACTCATCCTTGACATTTTGGGTGATAGTGTAATGAAAGAATTTTTAATACACTGACTCAGGACCTAATATTTTCCTTCCATGATAACAAAACCTAGCTAACTTTTTACATTTCCTCTTACTGATAAGACACAGAGAATATTCTAGAACAGTGGTTCTCAACTATCCTAATGCTGAAACATTTTGTTTTTCCCCTGTAATTTGTTAATTGCTGATAAGTTTTGGCTTTATTGACAAAAGCAAACAAACCAAAAATCTGTACAAGACTGAAAATTAAATTTTCACATAGTTGAAAAAAATCCCATTTTTGTAGAAAGAGCAGTTCTTTACTGATGTTTGTGAATAATATGGTCCTGAAAATGATTAAAAGGTGCATGGATGATAATGCAAGCAGTCTTACAATATCAAGTGGTTTATTTACTAAGATCTGTGTGTGTTGTATAATCTCTAAGTGTGTTCTTATGTCTCTGCCTTGTACTATCCAGGATGCTCTGTATCGCTGAGAGCACATGCTGGAAAGGGCGAGGAGCCCAGGACTTAGAAAGTCTTCCCAAGCATTCTTGCTTGCCAGGGCTACATAAGCCAAGCAGGGATCAAGCCTGTCCTCTCCACATGTCTTCCTTCCATCTTCCTATAACCTTAAGGGATAAGGGGATGTTAGAGAGGGTAAGGAGACACTCACCCTGAATGGAGAGCCTTGGAAGTGAGCACGATCTCTGTGTCCATTGGTCCAGGCAGAATGTAGGGGAGGAGGAGGGAGTTAAGCACTTGAGCCTTACATGGCCCACTGAGTTCATCTGCAAACAGCACTCATTCTTAGTGAGCTTGCCAATGCATGAAACACAAATGCAGAGGGCTATTTGGGCATCTTCAAGCATAGTGTGGGAAATTTCAGATCATATGAAAGTTGAAGACTGACATTTTCCTCTGCAAATTCTTTACCTACTCCAGGCTCACTAATCCTCACTACAATAGGAATATTTGTTAACAGAGAACCAGTGAATAGACTTACGAACAAATAATACAGCTCTAATATTAACATACTTGAACAGGACACTTTTAAATAGCAGTGAGATGAAAGTACTTGTTATATACAAAACCAATCCTAAATGCAAAATCTTTTTTAGCTACAATGGTGCTTCTCGGTACTATCAATTTTGAACTATGTATACTTTGCAGTGTACTTGTAACCAGCTTGTGGTTGTTGGTTGGCAAGTACTCGGGAAAGATACAACTAGCTTGCAAATGACTTTTGCACCAGACCAAAAGTATATCCCAGAGCATTCAGAAGCCAAATTTGACTACTCAGTGATGGCATGCTCACAGCCCACTTTCATGCCCATTTGACTATCTCCAGGTTGAGTTCACATCATCCACAATTTTGAAACCCAAACATTTCATATCTTGGATTTTTTAACAAATTTCATAATAGCTGTACTTACACCATAAGATGTCAATAAAAATGGCACCCAAGTCTAAAAATACACTGTTTTGAATGAATGTACCTTTGACTATGGAATCACATTATAGTCAGGAGTAGAGTTTCTTCCATGTGATTCTGTTGGCTCTCCAAAAGTTTCAGAGTTTGGGGTATTTTGCATTTCAAGGTTTTGGATTAGAGGTCCTTAACCTGTAACTCAAATGTTGCCTGGGATTCATGTAAATTATTGGAGCAGTGTAGGCTAGGCACATACAAAGAGAAGACGTGTAAATATTTTCTTAACTACCCTACGTATCGGAATGCCAGTGGAGAAAGCTCTGATGAGTTCCGACTGAAGATCTGCTATTTCATGAGGTAAATACACATATAGATTTAATTTCTCATAGCTTTGGGTTCTGGAATTGTCAACAAATCCTGTTTTTCCTAAATAGCCAATACTTCTCCCTGTCTTTGTAACTGTTAGTTCTTCTCTGTTGTTGGTGAGTAGCATAAAATTTATCTTATGGACTAGAGATCAAGTAAGGGCTCATGCCTTAGGGAGTAAAACCAGCTCACAGATCTGGTAGATGCAGTGTTTTCTACTCCTTCAACATATATATTACTGTAAACTGGGAGGGGACTTCCCTAAGCTATGTATGTAGTAAGTCAGGAAAAGTTTGGGTTTGCAGGATCTTGGTTCTTGAAAGAGCAGAAAGACACACATTAGGATTGCTGGGGATAGGAGCTGTCAACTTGGAACTATGGTACTCGTTTCAGTATTATATTCAATTTATAAAATAGTCACCAAATGTGGTCCAAGTGAAACCTTCCAGCTGTCAAAAGTCCTTTCTACACCTTTCAGGTACTGGATTCTGAAATTTCCTGCAGAGTTTAATTTGGATCTTGGTTTGATTCACATGACCGAGGAGTTCCGGGAAGTAGCTAGTCAACTAGGATATGAAAAACACATCAACCTCATGGACATATCCAGCGTGTAAGAGTGGCATGAGTCTTTTGATCTTTGTGGGTCCATTGCTTTGGGAAAGGGGGAGTAATGACCCTGCTTGACAGGAATCACTACTGTTCTAGATGGAAGCTCCTTCTTTGGAGACAGCCTGGCTACAATGAACACAGGGATATCAGATACTATCTATCTCTTCAAGCTGCAGTTTGTTTGTAAAATGGCACAGTACCTCTGTTTTAAAAGTATACAAGAGAGCACAAGAAAACATTTGGCACATAGTGGATGCTGAGTACTCTGTTCTTGAATCTGAATTTAGTCAATGTCTCCTATGCCCTAGCTACTCAGATAACCACACGCATTTCTCCTAGGAGTCCATCAGAAAACAGTCTTGGGTTCTGCCTAAGCCTTCTGGATTGGAATCTATATCTTAACAAGATCCCCTTATGATTCATACTCTTCTTCAAGTCTAAGAAGCTCTTTACCCCAGTGCTTCAGAGGTTCACCAGAGGTTCCACAAATGCTGACCATGGTTGTATCACTGACTAGTTATTTCATTAGGTAGTTAATAGTAACTAGACTCATTTAAGACAGATCAGCTAGCTCTGCCAGGGAAAGTGTTTTGATGCTAGGTGTGATTGCCCATATTACAATTGTATATTCTATCCCAAGCTGGTCTGAAAATTATTATGTAGCCCAAGCTGTCCTTGAATTTTTGATGATTTTTCCTGTCTTGGCTTCTTAAGTGCTAGGATTACAGATGTAGTCAAATATACATATTTCTTGCCTTAGGGATTCTCTTTGCTTGGAATGTTTCTTCCAGACTAATTGTTAATGAATGAAGCACAATTCACCAGGGATGCTTGTTTACAATGTCTGTCATTCAGATTCATTTCTAGTAAATCAGTGTCTCTGGAAGTGAGATACAGGCCTTTGTCTTCATAATGAGGTTTTCAGATAATCCATACAATGCTCAGGTGTGATGAACAAAACCATGGTTGTTTCCAAGCTCCTTGAATCACCCTCTATATGCTAACAAACTTCTGAATTTATAAGCCAGACCTGACACCCTCTTTATAGTTCAGATCTTGCCTGGTCACAAGGAGTACAAAGTAAGAGAGATTCAGGATGAATCAGGGCAAGCTTACCGTGCCAAGACAAAACAACTCTAAGTCATTTGGCAAAGGGTGGGTGGGTTTTCTCTTCAAACATGGAGGACAAGGTATGTATTTTCACACAAGCTCCTGGCAGTAGGCCAAGAGTTAGTCAGTAGGTTAATATCTTCCACCTAGTGAAATGCATTTTCAGCACGCTGACCAGACTTGTTCTTCTTTCACAGTCCTTCCTATGACTGGATGAGGAGAGTCACACAGAGGAAAAAAGTATCAAAAAAGGGGAAGGCTTGTCTCTTATTTGACCATCTGGAGCCCATTGAATTGGCTGAGCACCTCACTTTTCTGGAACATAAATCTTTTAGAAGGATCTCAGTAAGGAACTTGACGGTTATTCTTCCAAGGGTAACAAGCAATGTGCCAACTTTCCCAAGAGCTATGTGTTCATACTCTCAAGTGTTGGCAGCCTCTGCCACTGGGCTCTGTTGGAAATGTGCCCTCAATTCACAAGAACAATCCCTTTTAACCAAATATAAATATTATCCTGTCTTTAATTTATGGTTCAGGAGCTATATTTCTGCCGATATGTTCAATGTCTCCTTTCATAGAATTAAAGCATGATTTTTCTAAATATTCAGCAGAGGCTTAACCATTTTAGGTTTATTTAGTTTGAGTGACTTCCTCCAAGTGAACAGTTTTGCTGGGCCTTTTATTTATGGCGGTGAGGTTTGGGAGTGAGTTAACTTATTTTGGTATCTCTACAATGCCTAACTATGAAAATAGGTTGAGAATTAAGAATTGTAGGCTTTGAGGAGATCTCAACATTACATGGCCTCTTTCACAGAGATGGAAGTCCTGACTTAGACTTTCCTCCCTGCGTGTCTTGATGGACCCTCATTCCCCTTCTATATTTCTTTTGCTTTCTGCTCTCCTTCCTTCCTCAGCTACAGTCTTGTCAAACCACCCTTTGTCATGATCTACTTCTTTATAGTGTTTCCATCTGCTGGTTACTTTGACATGTCTTGTAAGCTCAGGTGAAATCATCCCTTTCCAAGGACCCTGACATAAATTGCACCATTGCTAGGAAGCAAGATGATTTTTGACTAGAACACTTCTTTCCTTTTTTTTTTTTTTAAGCAACCTTACTTTATTTTTTCTTATCTCCCTTACCCCTTGAAATACTACAAGCTTATTGTTTTTGTAAAGTATTATATTCCATCCATTTCCTGTTCCTTAGTGTGTGCCATTGTATCTTAAATGTGTTTGTCCTTTGGGGTCACTAGTAAAACTGAAAATGGAAACCTTAGATATTTTTGGTAGGAAATACTGATCCTGTCTGATTCATTAATTTTCCCAGGATAATGGCCTATGTGGATCTTAGGGTTCAGTACTCTTGGAATTCTCTGGAATATAACTTTGAATTTCTCTCCTTCTTCTCCCTCCTTTAAAGCACTGTGATTTGTGTGTTTATATTTGAATTTTTAAATGTAGTAAAATAGCCCATTAGAGGCACATAGGTATTGTACTTGAAAGAAACCTTTATAAATAAAAAATGGAAGAAATCACCACATGGTTAGGAAAGGCTAGCTCACTGCTTTTATCGAACTGTGTAATGTCTGATTTTGTGAAAACTCCATTATAGCTCAGAATCTTTCATTCTTTCTTTGCCAGTTCACAGATTATCAGAGCTATGTCATCCATGGCTGCCTGGAGAATAACCCGACATTGGAGAGATCTATTGCTTTATTTAATGGAATCTCTAAGTGGGTCCAGTTGATGGTTCTTAGCAAACCAAGTGCTCAACAAAGGGCAGAAGTCATCACAAAGTTCATCAATGTAGCACAGGTTTGCCCTCAACATAATCAGACCTGGGTTTGGGGATTCTGTATGTTCATTAATTGTATTGAGAAAAGTTGTTGAGGAGATTGATGTTAACAGTAGTCAGTACCGGACTATATTAAACCGTGCATAGATATCTAATGAACAAACCATATTCCTCTCACATAGCAAGATCGCTTGTAAAAGGCAATGCTTAGAAGCATTTAATTGTGTTAATGTGAAATGAGTGGTATTGTATTTTTAGAGAATTCAACTTTCATCATCTTAAACTGATATGTGTTTCCTCCATAGATTCTTGTTATTAAAACTGTGCTTGTATTCACCTGTAACTTGGAAAATTCAAAATAATTTTTAAAAAGTCCTTACCAAGTATTGGTGTTAATGGTTTTTTTTGTTTGTTTGCTTGGTTTTTTTTTTTTCAGAAACTCCTTCAACTAAAAAATTTTAACACCTTGATGGCTGTGGTTGGTGGCCTTAGTCACAGCTCCATTTCCCGACTCAAAGACACCCATTCTCACCTCTCTTCCGAAGTTACAAAGGTACCATGGATTTTTATCTGAATTCCAATTAGGCAGTTTAGATTGCTGAAACATGCTCTGATATACGCCAGTATTACATAAGAGGGTAACATTTTTAATCTTAAACCAATGCCAAGTTATAGATAGGTACAAAATAGAGAAGGAATAGCCCTATTGGCCGAGCCTACATATACAATCAGATTGCTGCTGGTGGTGTTACCATACGAATGTTCTGGCCAGGCTGGTGAGATGGCTAAGTAGGTGAGGATGCTTGCTATCAACCTGGTGACCTGGGTCTGATCCCTAGAACTCACATTGTGGAAGGAAAGAAGTTATTCCTCACAGTTATCCTCTGATTGGTGTCTGTATGATGAGCCATGCATTAGCCCGCCCAAATAAATAAATAAATAAATAAATAAATAAATAAATACAGAAAGAAAAAAATGTCCTAACCGAAGATGAATATATTATAAATGTCACCAAATATTTATTTGGTGCTTGCTATGTGATCGCCACTCTGATAAAAGTGAAATATACAAGATGAGTAAAATAAATACCAGAGCCTCTGAAATGAATTCACGGATGCCTACGCTAGTTGCAACATTGTGGCTCATGGGAGATGCAGAGGAAGGGGAAGCAGGAGGTCTTATATAGAAATATTCAGAGTCATAACTGAGTTGTCACAAACAAAGGCATGTACCTTTAAAAGCCAGTTCACTGATACTAGTAATATAATAGGTATTCTCTGCTATATTAATTTACAGACCAAATCAAATAAACATTTTATTTGCTGAGTAGAAAGAAATATTTTCCCTCATACTAACACTTGGCTGTAGTGGCAGTAGGGTGTGTACTGCTTTAACCTTAAAGACGTTAAAAAAATCTAAATTGGTTAAATAATAAAGCAAGCTATTGTCTGAGAACCTTGGCAGTCCAGTGGCAGAGCGAACTCCAGATGTGCCTGTACCAGAGCCTGGCTCAGTCGCTTCGCCTTCTGAATATCAGGGGGTTGTAGCTGCTTTCGTTCATTTTTAGTTTTTGTTTCTTTGCCTTTTTTGCTGTTATTAGCCTGCCTTCCCTCTTGATTGGGCTTTGGGGAGCAACCGGACAAAAACTACTCTTATTCTTGAAAGACTTCTCATTTTCACTCTGCCCTCATTAATTAGAGACCCTCTTTGAATATGTTTTGGCCATCTCAAGTCATATGATGGCCATCCTGGGCCAATAGCAGTTATCTGAGAAACATAATGTATTGATTGGCTTAGTCCTCTCTCTTCCTAGACTGTTTACAAACAAAATAGGTGGTAATTCCCTTGAGCTTACTGCAGAGCCCATCCTAGGTGCTGGAGGTAGAAACAGCTCATGAGTCATGTGGAATGCTATTGGGAAGGGCGGATGGTGTGGGGTGGAAAAGTCTAGCTTTAGACTAGACTTTTTTAGAAAGTCTAGCTGTTGTTCACTAACCAGCCAAGATTATCTATACAAACACAGGGCAAATAAGCCAGAGAAGTACCATTATTTGGCCTCTGGCTCTACCCTCACCTCAAGTATAATGGGACTCACTATAAGTTTTATTTTTTCTTAAGTTTTATACTACATTTCAAATAAAAGGCAAAAAGAAAATTTAAGTTGTACAGAATAAAAGGCTTAGGGCTTATACTGTATATTTATAAATTATATATTTGAGGGATGGAGAGATGGCTCAACTGTTAAGAGCTCTTGTTGATCTTTCAGAGGATGTCGATTTGATTCCCAGTAACTGCATGGTGGCTCACAACTGTCTGTAGTTCCAGTACCAAGGATCTAACAGCCTCCTCTAATATCCACAGGCACTAGACCAGGCAGGCATGTGCATGTGCTGTACACACACACACACACACACACACACATACACACACACAGAGCACTCATACACATAAAGTAATACCCACACACACACACACACACACACACACTCAACACAGTCACATTCACCCTTTTATTGGGAAATCTAAATATCCAGCTCAGTGCAGCTTTTCCTACCTCGCACTGTCCCAGATTAAACTTCAAGTGACTTTCTTGGAACCACGAGAGTACTGTAAAATGCTACATGCTTGCCTTTGTGAACTGTAATTTCTCATGACTCTCAGAATCCTAAGCATATGTGACTCCATTTAGCAGCTCACAGACAAGCAGAGATACAAGATAATTTCTGTGTTGTTGCAAGATGGAGCAGGCTGTCCAAGTGAGAGCCAGGCCCAGTGCATTTTTCTGATTCTCTTGGTTGATAGCTTCCTGCACGCTGGTACAGCTGATACTCCTCCCTGTAGCTGAGGAATTCCAAACCACATATTCCAGAATCTGGGAGCGGACAGGGGAGAAAGTTGCCATTTGAAAATTGTCCTTTTCCATCTCTTCCCAGAACTGGAACGAAATGACAGAGTTGGTCTCCTCCAATGGCAATTACTGCAATTACCGCAAGGCCTTTGCCGACTGTGATGGCTTCAAGATCCCCATCCTTGGCGTGCACTTGAAAGACTTGATAGCGGTCCATGTCATTTTCCCAGACTGGATGGAAGAGAACAAAGTGAACGTTGTGAAAATGCACCAGCTTTCTGTTACCCTGAGTGAACTGGTCTCCCTGCAGAACGCCTCTCACCACTTGGAACCTAACATGGATCTGATCAACCTACTCACCGTGAGTCCCAGGGGCCAAACATGTACTAAACAGTACTGCATCGTATTTCCAGTGCCATAGAAAGATATGTTGTGACAATTCACTTTAAGAAGGAGAGTAATTTAGGGGTCAGTCCACGATAAGGAGTCTAGTCTCAAAGGATGAGGCAAACAGAAACGTACGTCCATAGTGAGCATGACTTGAGACTGTAGCCTCGTGGCCAATACATGTTCCTTTTTCAGGAGGAGCCTAGTCTCTGCCCACGTGTACCTCTTCTAGAGGTTTTTAGTCCCTAAGAGCCACTTTATCCCATTACTCTCCCTCAGCAAACTTGGCCAACTAATCAGCTCCTTCCTTATGCCCCCAGGTCCTCTGCTTCTATTTTGACTGAGAATTCAAAGACTCCGTCTTTATTCTTAATTTAAAACTTTTTATTTTGTATAATGTTTATGTGTGTTCATGGTGGGAGGAGGAAGAGGGAGAGGCAGGGAGAGACTTGAGTGTACCACAGAAATAAGGTGCAGGTGAAAGGACAACTTTGTAGAGCTTGTCTTCACTTTCCACCTATATATAGATTGAAGGCTAAAACTCGGGTTGTCATTTTTGTGTAAGGAGTTCCTTTATCTGCTGAATCATCTTGCTGACTCCTTGTTTTTTGTTTTAGTTTTCTTTTGTTGTAATTTTGTTGGTGGTGGTGGTTGTTTTAGACTGTGTTTTGTGGCTTAGCTTAGGCTAGACTTGAACTTGTGGCCCCTGACCTTTTAGTCTCTCAAGTGCTAGGATTCTAGCTGTGGGCCACTGAAGGGTTATTGGGGTCCCACATCTGCTCTGCCACAGGGCTTGACCACTCAGGGAGGCAGGACATCGGACTGCACTTACCCCACACTGTTCTACAGGAGCCGAAGGACACCACTCTGGGGATGGGGGAAACGAAGTCTGAAGTGTAGGACAGCCAGAGCTGGCTTGGGGGTCCCCAGGCCTGCGATGAGGCTGGGGCCAACTGGTTCTCAGGCTTTTGGGCACCCAGGCACAGCTGGAAGCCACGGAATAGCTGACAGCAAAGTTGGGGCTGAGGAGAAAAAGAGGAGAGCTCCAGCTGGATCCTTCATGGAGGAGTCCTTGGCTTGTCCGCAGGTGGCTGGCTTGGCTTGGTTGTCATGGCTGGAGGCACAGAGAGGCCTGGTATGGAAGATTAGACGGAGGCTCTGTAGGCCAAGGCCTTCTTTATGGATCCCCACAGTGGATCCCGATGAAAGAGACAGTCCATGGTTTTAAGGTATTTATTAGCATGGTGGAAAGTGGATGAGTAAAACTATACCCCACTTCTTAGGGCGGGCCTGAGGTTAAATACCTTTTTCAGGGAGGAGTGTCTGGGAAGGAAAGATTAATTGGCTAAGCCCTTCAGACCTTTAGGTACCTCATTAATATGGAGGCCTGGCTTGAGCCTATGCGACCTATGGTCATGTCTTCTACCTGTGGAGGGACTTGGGGCATTGCCCTTACATGACTGATGGCCACAAATATATGGAGGGCTATGGCCTCGTGTCAGGAGCCTATTGTCTCGGAACCAGGCAAAATGTCTGCTGTTCCTTTAGGGTCACCGGGGTTTCTAGCCTTAGCTCAACCAGGAACCAGGCTGCATTTCACGGTCCTACAGGCCACCATGTTCTGCTTTTTAAAGATTTCATCTTTCTAGAGCATTCTTTGTTCTCTTTGAAAGCAGTAATGAATCTGCTGTGCTTTCCCCTGTAACTGTAGACGGCATTGCTCTGCATTAGACTCATTATTTCGTCTGTTCATGTGCTTTATTTAGCACATGCCCAGCCACTCCCACAGTACCTGGCACAGTTAAGATTAAACTCAGGAGACAAAGTGAATGCCGTGAGTGTGGGTGTCAGACAAAATGTCTGACATCCTTTCGTCACCTGCCACTCTGATTGATTATCTATTTATTTATTTATTTTGGCACTTGTGACAGATTGTTTGGATGGTCTTCGGGTCTAGAGTATCTAGACACAACAGGTGTATAGAAGACATCTTCCATTATATCTTGTTTTCTGAGGAGGAAGGAACATAAACAAATTCTCTTACCCTTGCTTAAACAAGTGAAGGTACAACTTCCCTCTTTGCCTTCATAACAGTGTGTAGCATCTGAAACTTGACTGCTGTGATGAACTGCATAGTTTTCTTTTGATGACCATGGAGTGGGGGGAAGGGGGAAGAAAATGAAGGCAATAACTCTTCTTAAGCTCTGGCAGCCTAAATCACCTAAGACTGCTGCATTGGAATACGAACCTGGTTCCCAGACTGCATACCCACTAATTATTATCAAAGGACACATCTCTAAGTAGAATGTTAATATTAGCTATACTCTTAGTATGAAGTTGAAGTGGTCAACACACAGATCTCTTGGGTTTGTGTGATTAAACAATAAACACAAAGACGTTCTTCATTGGGGAATCACCTCACAATAATTCAAACACCTGCATTGATTAATCATTTGCCATGTAAATATGTTTCCATGAATCAGTGCCCAGGGTTGTAGCCACAATCAGACAACAAACCACAGGACAGACAGATGATGTCTGAAGAGAAGAACTAGTGTGGTCCTCAGTTTCAACTGTCTGCTTTCAGACTGTGCTTTTACCCAGGAGTATAACTTTATAAGGCAGGTGCCTACATTTGGGCAATGTCTAAACACCCAAAAGACAATGAAAAGGTAGGGAAATTAAGTTTGAGTCTTGAGTTTGAGTTTTAAGTGCATAAAGCAAGGGAAAGGTCTCTCCATGGTAGAGTACCTGCCTAGCATGCCCAAGGCCCTGGTTCAACCCCAAAGCAAGCAAGCGAGCAAGCGAGCGAGCGAGAAAGCAAGCAAGCAAGCAAGCAAGCAAGCAAACACAAAACCTAAATGCACCAAGCCACATTATCAAAAAGATATTAAGAAAAGTTCTGAAAAAAAATTTCTAATGGAAGTTCAGTGGTAAAAATGGAAACTTGAATTTAAAAAATAAAAGCTAAGAAGCAATTCTTTATTTGTTAGGGAAAACAAATGAAAAAATAATGATGCCAATGTATTCCCAGCTCTGTTTTTAGGAGAACTAAGGGACAATTTAGAAGCTACTTAGCATCATATTTAAGCCTGCATAGCCCAGAGTGATAGCAAAAATCCTAGGCGAAAACTCCTGACCTTCAGGTGGCACCTGTGCTAATCAGTCCTGACTATGCCTTTTTCATCATGCTTCTGTGGTCATATATGAGCTGCACATTTCTGTGACTCTAGAAATACAGAATGGCAAAGCCACGAAAAGAAGGAAATATTTCTGTGATAATGGCCATGGCCCACTGATTAACCTGGACAGCACAGGCTTACAGAGCAGTCACAACATCTAAGCCAGTTTCTTCTTACATTTAAGGCCATCCTTTGCTCCCCACAATCAAGGACAAGGTTTATTACACACAAAGGCACATTAATGTTTTTCTGATGTCATGTTGAAGGTAATGTCCTCAACATGAGTCCTGAGGAAACTTATGTGTTCATTTATGAAACACATACATGTTTGAATTAGAACCACATGATTGCAGCTATCTGAGTCACAAAAGAATGTTAAAAGTTAATAAACAATTATTAAACAGCTATTCTGTGCATAAGGCTGGCTACCAATGCTGGAACTTTCCATGACCACTGGTTCACATGACACCTTCCACATCCTTCTCCCTGGTAAATTCTCACATAGGTCCTATAATAAATCCTGGGAGGTGGAGGTGGAGGTGGGGGATAGAAAATGTCATACCACCTCTGTCCCTTCCTTTCTCAAAAATGAAGGATGTGAGATTTATAAATGTCTCCAAAGTTTAAAAATGAAAAACTTCTGGATACAAGGTTTGGGAACTCTCTCCCTTGGGTAAGAAATTAGTCAGCATTTGTCACTATAACAAATACCCAGCATAAATCAATTTATTGAAAGAAAAGGCTTATTTTGGCTCAGCCTGTTAACAGTTGGCTTCGTTGCGTTGGTCCTGTGGTAAAGCTGCGTATCAGTGGGGTAACACGTGGCAAAACAAGATCACTCATCCCATGGCTGGGAAGTGGAAAGTGAAGAGGCATGCCTGAGCTCCCACAGTCCCCTTGGAGGCATGCTCTCATGATTTAAAGACTTCTCTCTGGGCTTCACCTCTTAATTCCCCGCCACATCACAAAAGTACTGAGCCACTGAACAAGTTTTTAACATATGGGCCTTTGAAGAACCTTTAAGATGTAAGTTAATAGTGATGGCTGACATTGGGTGGACATCTGCTCTCTACTGTGGGTGTATTAAAAACATAATTCATTTTGTGTCAGTACAAAATTAAACAATATTTTTCTTCAACTCTTTCCACTATTTATTTAGAGAATAAAATTTATGAGGAAAAGATCATGTCCCTCTCTCCATGTGTCCTTTGTCCCCTTGAAACACATAGGTTAGGTGAAGAGCGGGAAAACATAGCATCACGCTGTAGGGATTTAGACTGTTCTCCCTTTCAGGGTGGATCTGGAGACAGGATCTCCCTTTGAGACTCCCGTTCACATGAGTTCTCAAGGCTAATGCCTCTGTTTCATGATATATAAAACAGACAAATTCTTTTCGTGGTATTTTTAGCTCCTTCAGTTACTTTTATCATTTTGAGCTCATGCAAATAGCTGGAAAGCCCCTATGCTTTTACAGACTTGTTTTTAGAAAAAAAAATGAAGAGAAGAGAGAGAAGGAGGAAGAAGGAGGAGGTGGTGGAAGAGAAATAAAGGAGAGGATGATTTGATAAATTGAGGAGAGTAAATAATTTGATGGTCAAGTGTGTTTTATTTTCTAATAAGCAAATCTTAATATGAAATCTAATGCTACAGCCACCTGTGCTGACAGGATTGAAGGGTAAATGCAACAGATAATGAATCAGAAAGTTGCCCAAAACCATCGGGGACAAAATATGTTAGACAAATTTGGTCATATTATTTAAAACTGGAAGGTAGGCAGGGAAAATCCTTAGGTCCCCACCAAGATCTGAGAGAGGAAACAGGGTTGAGGGGGCAGGGCAGATACGGTATCAGTGGTCCTGGGGGACAGTTTTCTGTTCACAGATAAGCAGCGTGACATGTGGCTGCTACATTGCCTAGGTGCCAAACCTGCATCTGTGAGCTTCTAAGCAAAGCCAGTGGAATGAATATGCATTAGTTCACTTAAATCTTCACCAAGGTCCTGGGTGGAGAGCTATTACTGATCAGTAAGAAATGAAGATGCTTAATCACTTGCTCAGGATCACAGCATTGATAAGTAGAAAGAAGGCATTTAAAGAAGACCAAATTATGCGTCAGTCTTTGCCCATTTGTCATGGGAAAATACCCAACAAGGATACTTGTAGGAGCATCTCATGGACTTTGTAAAGGTTTGAGGGCATTTCTGGTTGAACATCTTGGAGTTGCTGTTACTTCATCTGAGGATGCTGGCACCAGTCATCCTGGGACTTGGATATCACAAGCCTCAGAGGCAAGTCAGGAGGAGGGATCATGCTTGTCAAACAAAGCAGGGGCTGACTCCTGATAACAAGGAATTTGAAAGGAAGACTGCATTTAGCATTCTCTTCATTATTTACGGAAGCTTCTCCATGCAAGGCCTCAAACTGAAACTGAGGCAAAAAGGACAGATGTCCTGTCCACTGCCCAGAGATTTGTCTCTTTGGTGATTCTAGATCCTAAAGAGTGCGTAATAGTAACCATCACAGGTCCCAATGTGTCCATCAAATACCCTTTTTGTGCATCCTATTTCACTCTTTTGAGTAACTTCCTGGTTCCTACGGCATTTGTGACATGTGTGACTACTCTTTAGAGAAAGGTAAACACAGTGTCCATTCTTAGCAACCAGGATTTTCAACATCTGGGAAGATTTGGGGACCATTTTATAGCAATGTCAACTTTACTCTTCTTAAGAAAGAAGTTCAGGTAACAAAGTCAGCCTTCTCTTCCTTTCATTCCTTCCTGTTCACACTACCTCCTGAGTCTCTCCTGATCGTTCTGTCTCCAGGGGTCCCTGTGTGTGACGATAATAGTAATAAATAAGCATACACCAATAACAATATCGTATAGCATTCGTGAGACAGTCCTGACTGCTGAGTCCTTGTGAAGTACTTTGAATGTATTCTTTCCATAGTCCTCACTGAAGTCTAGTTTGGTGGAAGCTTGTATAGTTATTCACATTGTGCAGACATAGAATTTGAATATTAGAGCACACATGCCTTGTTCAGCGCTCCAGAGTTCACCAATGTCAAGTTCAGGTTTGATCGGTAGCTCCATTTGCATTTGCATTTACTCACCTCCTTCCCAGAATAAGTCCTGTAACCTTTGGAGTGGGGTAGCGCATTTCATACTTAACAGGCATGGATGGGAACACAATTTGTTTTTATTGTTCGTTTTAATTCTGTTTGTTCAAGTTAACTGCCAGACTTTTGAGGACAAAAAGCTACTTTTTGTACTTGAGTATCACCAAGACTTTGCACAGTGTTCTGAAAACAATAGGATCTGGGACAATTTATTCTTTAATTTCATGGTTCTTTAATCAGGTCTGTACTATGTACCTCCAGATTATAAAAATCTCTCTCTCTCTCTCTCTCTCTCTCTCTCTCTCTCTCTCTCTCTCTCTCTCC